TCCTTCAATTTGCACGATATTAGACATGAGGGCCTTTTTCAGTTATTGGTTATGAGACACTTCGCCAGTTCCGTGTCAAATTTGAGCCGTGATCTTTACTTTTGCTAGGCTTCTAGGCAGCCCTTCCAGTCCGATAGGGTGGAGACTTTGTAACGTTTAAGTAATGAGTGTTATTCAGAGCGCCAGCCCGTTTTTTGGAGAGAGAGAGAATTACACCAGTTAAAAGTCGTGTATTCTGTACAGAAACGCAGTGGTGATCAAAGCCCCCGACGCGCGGCCGATGCGCCGGTCCGTCAGCTAGGGCAATGTTGGCGTGACTGAATAAACGTCATGTGAGTCAGTCAGCGTCGAATTTCTGAGTTGATTGGGTGATTGTAGAGTTTATAGGCGTCGCCTGATTGGCTGCCCTTGAGGCTGGCCTGCGCGTGTATGTTCCGGCCGCTGGGGCGCCGTGTGCATGTGATTCCTAACACGGCGCAGGTGTCAGGGACGGAAGTTTTATACGCGCCTGCGGCGTTACAACCTTCCAATGTCCCCCTTTCAAGTTGAATTCAACAACTTTTTCCTCTACCGTATATGACTATGGCCACAACAATTTAAATGCTAGATATTCCCTCTGTGATTGATGCTATGGATGGACTTGGTTCGTATGCGCGTCCAAGCCCTGTACTCCCTTACTCGTGATTTGGGAACCTGCGAGTTATCGAGCATAGCACCTCGGCAAGAAAAAATCGATAAGTCTAGGGAGGGGTCTGAGCGTGGCAGCTAGCGGGGCCGAATTCACGTCTGCCCGTGCCATACGGGTGCTGGCCCCGAAACAGTGAACCAGAGTGCAAATGAGGTCTTGGAGCTCTTAGCACGAAGCATCGCAAAATAGGGGCTGCATATGAGAATCATAGGCCTGACTTCCAGCTTATCTGACTATCTGGCAGCCTTTCTAGTCAGGACTTTTAGTGCGTCTTGTCGACTGTGGCAACTAGGCGCGTGGCCCTAACTGAATTGGCTTCACACTGCCTTCTTTCTCCACTGTGCAGGTGACACGTCCGAGCCAAGAGATGCTGGGAGCAGGCGCAATGGTCAACGTGGTGCATGAACCACGTCTGCTCGCGCTACGCGCGCGACGCTGTTCAAGACGACTGAACAGTCGCACAAACTCGGTCTTGGCTCCCGTCGCTCTCTTGCTGCAATAATGCCAATGGCCTACAGGGGACGGGCCAACATCTCTAGTTTTTGACAACTGGGGGGAAATCTGGTTGGGAGTGGGGACAGGATTACGGAGCGATGAAATTCGGTCCCAAATATGCCTGGCTAGCAGCCTCGCCCAACATTACCCACATGGTTTTCAGTACACTTCTGTCCCCGGAATACTAGAAATGTGGAAAGATAATGCCATGCCGATTTCGCACGTCTGTGAGTCACCACAATCCAAATGTGACGTTTTTTCCCTATCGCTTATGTCGGTGTAGTATTTGGTTCCTTAGAATAAGAGCCAGGGGGCGGCGACCTTATCTTAACGTTGCTTTGGCAGAAATTACTCCCGACAGTTATTTCGAGCGCATGAAATCAGGTTCAGCTGAACAGGACTGACATGGTAGTGGCGCCCACATGGGGGACAGAGCATTTCATAGCTGCCCCATCGCCAGAGGGAGGCCCCTGTGACATAATGTGATGCAACTTGCAGTCAGAGCAGAATCTGAGGTCCAGCTCTCGATCTTCATAATGAAAGCTGCCCGGATCTTACTATCTCTACTAGTGTTAACTGCGCCATCTACGGGCTCGTTTTGACATCCAGTGGTCGCCCGCAAACCGTTGGCTCCCTTATTTCCCCTGGCCAGGGCTGTCAATCTGCTTTTCAGTAGGGCTACACCGGCCAGTGCGATAACTGCCAGTTGTTGGACAAACTCACAGCCTAAAGGAACTCAAGAGTAAGTAGACACAGCAAGAGACATGGCTCCCATCAATCAGGCGGCACTAGAGGCAACTTCGGAAGTCTGAATCCCAGGGCAATCGCCAAGTCAACTTGAAGTAAGTTAGTCGCTGTGAAAGTAGTGTTTGCGTCAGCCATTTAGAAATCGAATCACTGAACCTAGGTCAGTATAGGTCAGTATATTTTAAGAGTAATAGGCAATGCCTTTGAAAACCCTATTGTAAACGGTACATGCAATATCTAACTATAAATAAACATGGTACTGAAATGCTGTCAGTAATATACACATTTCAGTCAGTCAGTATCAGTCAGTATATTTGGAGTAAACGACAGAAGCCATGAAAACTCCATTTAAAGGGTACAGGTATAAAGTAAAATAGTTAAATTGCAAAACTTTTGCTTGCAGTTTTAGTAGGGAGAATTCATAAATCT